TTCTAAAAAGGTGGGTCTTAATTCTAGTTTTCTAAGATTATCATTAAGAACTCCTAGAGCTAGATCCCAAGACCTTAATGAAAAAGAAATGACCTCAAAAATGAGGTCAACACGCACCCGATTCAGTCTTTCCCTCCTTCGACCGAGAGTCTCGGGCGTGCCCTAGCTCCCGCGTTCCTCTCCTGCATGCATGCGATCCCTCGCGATGAAACCCGATCGCCTTCTCCTCTCCAGCGATCGACCGCACCCGAGCAGAACCCTAGCTCACATGTCTCCTGGTTCGATCGCGAGCTCCCAACGTTCGGCTCCTCTTCTGCGTGAGCCGCTCGACCGAACGGCTCACCAGTCGTGAGCTGCCCCCTGCCCGACCCTTCCTATCCCCTATTAGTCGTGTGCTTTCACTGTTGTATTCTTGAAGCTTTTGGGTTAGGAGTCTTGTGCTTTTCCATCAAAGTTCTTAAGGGAAGTGCTGCTGATTTTTTTTAGGATTGTTCTTGAATTTGCCTTGGATCTGCAGCAAGTGGTAACCCTCTTCCTCCTTTCTTCAAGCTTTTGAAGGAATTATCTGTTTTATTCTACTTTCATGCCTTGGGTTTAATTTGCTCATAATTTATAAAGATGTATTTTGGCAATTTTGCTCTGATGATTTCTTGCATGGCGATATGAATGATCTTTCTAATCTGTATCACTTGGAATTGCCCCTAAATATAATTTTTTTAAAATGATCCTTCTAGTCCGCGTCACTCGGAATTGCTACTGAATGCATTTTCTAATGCACCTGAAATTAGGAAATTAAAGTCGCTTTAAGAACTAATTGAGTTTAATGTTAAGAATGAGAATGGTTATAGGATTGGTGAGCTGCAGTTTTTTTTACGTTCCCACCACCCAATCATTATGTATTTACATATTTAACACCTAAATTGCAACTTTTACATGTCTACCACCCAATTCTTATGTGTTTACATTTATAACACCTGAATTTCAGCATTCTTTCCCAAATTCTCTATGAATTTGGTGTCTTCTGAGCTACATTTATGAAGTATATCTTACGGCTTTTGAAGATGTTTTTGTTGCCTAAGGGGGTCTTTTGCGATTTATTTGAGCTGCAGTTTTCGGAGGTGTTTGGGACTGTTTCAAGTCTCTTTTGGGCTGCGGTTTTGCCCTGTCTTGGTGATAGTTATTAGGAACCTTTTATAAACATGTTTTGTGGGCTGAATTGATTTCAGTTTAGAGCTTTTAAAATTATGTTCTGTGAGTTGAATTGGTTTAAGTTTAGAACTTTTAAAAATGCTGTTTTTATGGGCTGAAGTGGCTGTAGTTTTGAGGGCTTTTCAATGCATCTTTTGACGATGTTTTGGTAAAGTTTCAGGCTGCAGCCTGCCCTGTTTAAGAGAGATTTTGATGGCTGCGGTTTTATCCTGGTTTTGGGGGCTGTTTAGCTTCCCTGGGCTGCGGTTTCTTTTGCTATGGTGGTATATCCAAATTTTAGGACTATTTTAGCCCTTTGGGCTGCAGTATTGAAACTTTAGGAAATGTTTTAGCTCTCTTGGCCACTGTTTTCTCGTTGCATTGCTTTAGCATGGAGATCTTTGGGCATTTAATAATGGGGCTTTTGTTTTTGGGCTTTTCTGTTGCCCCGATTTGAAATGCAGGCATGCCGATTTATTTGATTTTTGGGGGTATGTTTTGAGCTTCTCGGTTGTCCCCCTGTTTGAGATATATTCTGAATGGTAACATAGCTACGGGGCTTTGGAATTTTGCCTTGGGGGCTTGGTTTGTACTCCTTGGCCGCCTCCCTGTTTGAGGCATATCTGATGAAATTTATCTGATGTTGGGGGTGTTCGGTTTTGTGTTTTGCTGCTGTCCCCTCTATTCAAAATAAGGGTGGATGATTTTACTCGACATTTGGGTCATTTTGGGAGCTCTTAAAGTTTGCTATATGGTTACTAATCCCATTTGAATTGGAAATTTTTAGTTCGAGGTGAAACTAAATGTTTTGATGTTCGCAAATTGAAATATTTTAATTTTAGTTTTTTGGAAGAGCTTGAATGCCTCTTTTGAGGAATGATGTACGAGGCGTTTGGAAATATTTCGGGGCCCAATTCTGCGGGCCGAATTGATTGAAAAAAAAAGGAAGGGAGAAGAAAGGAAAAAGGGAAAGATTATTTGATATTTGAAAAATTCGGGCATAGCTTGGGGGTTTCTAGATTGTGTCTTTTGGGGACGTCTCTTGGCTAGCTTGGGGGAGTGTGCTCCATCTCTTTACCTATTCGAGAATGCCTCGCCAGTTGGATCTTTTAGGCTAACCTTCCTGCCACTCTGGTTTTTCTTTTCTAAATTGGTTTTGGAGGTGGGTTAGTTTTCTTTCTTTATGTTTCTTGCTTTTTGGTTTGTTTTCCTTGCTTCTTGGTTTAGGTTTTTGGTGTTTATGCCCGAAGTATAAGTGCGCATATATAGCCTTTTGCTATATATGAACCATCAAGCAAGGTCGCAAGTAGATCAGTTTTGTTTTGGGGCTTAGGGCGGCGATGACAAAGACACACCGATGGTAGAGCAGAATGATATTCTATCCTACGACATCAGGACTCAATTCAGGGACCCGGAGAACCGTATGATGATGATATCATTCACCGACAAAAGACTAGCGGGAGACCCATACCTTTTTAGGTTGTTGGCGGTCCTACGCTCGACGGCGTGATCGACTCGTGGACAATCATAATTTTCAAAACCGATAAGAACCGACACGATAAGAATAAATATAGTATTTATAAAATTATTTTTACTACAAAATTTATACAACTTCTTTTTATATGCCTGAAATTCATGTACATACTAAAATATAAATTTTAAATGTACTGTAACTTGATTGTCCACTTGTCAATTACCAGTACTGGGTTAAGGAACACCCTCTTAAGTTAGGTTTAGTAGGACACACTTCTAGTTGAGTGGCGGACTCTATACATTCGGGTGAACGATAATAGCCTTCGACGTCCCTTGAGTATAAATATATAGTATCTGAGCCTAGCCTTGACCCGAGTGCTTGCGGTTTTGTCTCTTCAGGTTTTTCGTGTGATTTTATTGGAGCTTTTGGTAAAGCACTCGTGGTCTTTTTTCGAGATCTTCCCGTGTTTTCAGTGACTTTCTTTGAGCTGTCATTCACTATTTTTCTCGTGTTTTCCTTCGTGGGTCATTTGCCATTTTTTTTTCTCGAGTTTTCCAGATGGTGTTTCTTTTGTTGCTCACTTTTACTTATACAATGCATGCTAGTTCGTTTTTTTTTAAATTCTATTACTATATTTATACCTGCTACATCAATCACACTTAAGGAGTAGCGGGCCTCTTAGGTATACATGTTTGTTTTACACTTACAGCGCTTTACTTTACAACACACTTCATTGTTCTTCTCTATTTGTACATTCTACTGTTTTCCTATACTAAATGCTTTATTGCTCCTATACGTACTGTGCTGTCACTGCTTTCCTTAGCTATACCTGCTACTGTTTATTTTACACACTATATCTTAAAGTAGGAGACTAGTAGTTGGTTTCATAGGAGGTACTCGACAGCAGATGTTGACTCAACAATTGCATGTACACTTAAAATTAACATCGAACTCGAAGCTACTATGACGAGGAGCTTGGAGCTAACATTGTGGGTAGCACGATCATCTTCAACAACAAAACACGTCTATATCAGCTAAACCATTCCTTAGAAATTAAATAGCAACCCATAGGACTTCTAGGTAGTTTGTTTAGCGCAATGTGAATCCTCACATATTATCTTTAGGCTTTTGCACAACCCTGTTGTGCAATTATAAGTCCTAACACTTTTAGGATCCAGAGGTTACCGTACAGTACGGTGTAAATCCTCCTAAATCCTCCTTTTTAGGCTATTTGCACGATCATATATCGTGCGAATGTAAGTCCTAAATTCTAAAATTAAATTGCAGGATTAAACATTGAATAACATCATTTCAAAGACATAAAACCAAATAATAGGTTAGTTGGGAGTTCACCGAGGTTCTCCTCGGATTCGTGATATCCCATACTCTTTTTTTCCTTTGAATTCCTTAAAATAATTATTCCTGTTTGAGCTACTCTCATTTGATTTTCTGTTGTCCAATCTTGGAAACCTAAATTTTGAAATTTTGAAAGCAGAATTATTGATCTTAATCGAGTCTTCTTAAGTGACCCCGACCATTTAAGATATAATTAACTATAGGGGTTTGCCTCTATAGAAAAATTGAAACCCAGGTAACATAATCCCTATTTAATCCTTATATTAGATAGGAGAACTTGTCGGTCTCATATAAAAGGTTTTGAAGACCAAATGGATGTCACAAAATTCCTTGGTTTGGGTGGTTGAGTTTACTATAAGTGATTTGTTTATCCTTCGGGATAGTCTATTACATGTGGTATCGCACTCAACCGTCCAAACTATTTAATATGTGAGACTCGTTTGGTCTCATATATTTTCAAAATTAAAATATTACTTTCAAAAACTAAAAAACACATATTTATATTAAAACTATTTTCATATTTACAAAAATAATTCTTTTCAAAATAATGGCCGACAATGTCTCAATGACTGCCATGTAGAAATTGGGTAATTAGGAGATGCTTAATCCATTATTAAAAGAAAGCTAGTCTTTTTTGCTTAGCTTTGTCAGCAGGGAACGCCCTTTTTTTAGCTTTTGTTTGGTTAATTAGATACATGACATTAAGCTTTGGTGGGAAAAGGGAAGCTACTGGTAATTATGGGAAGAGTGCATAATGGTAATGCTACAGCAAACTACAAAAAGTGAAGAATATCGAACTTCCTTCTATGTTTTCTTCTTTTGCTCTTCTGTGTTTATTGTTTACACTGTTCTGGTGACTCTTCTAGGTGGTGTTGGTATTTTGCTGAAATTGCCGTTTACCTTTCCCTATGTCTAAATGATTGTATGTACATCTCAAGTTTTTGATATTTTAAATGAATCAAATTTACTTTTTGGATTGCAGAAATCTAAGTTAACTAGTTTTGTAGACCGAGGTCCCCCAATTTGGGAAGATGCAGAGCAGTTACGCAGGGAGGTCAGTTCAGCTGGGAAGCTAAAGTCAGTTGATTCTTCTGGCCCCTGCACATTCATTCCACTTCAGTTGTCCCAGATCGCAGGTCCTGAAGTTGATCATGATGTTGAGCCCATAGAAATCGATACATTTTTTAATTTCATTAGAGACCAGATTCCTGATATTGGAAACTTTCAACTACCTAAGGTTTCACAGGATAATGCCAAAGATCCTTCCTTTTGCCTTGAACTGATGGAAAATTATCTTTTCCATTCTATCATGGAAGATGTACATGAAAGCCAGTCTTATTCACATTCTACAACTGGTGAACAGAACTCAACTTCTGTTGTAGATTCCAATATAACTAGAGATTCGGGTTCTGTGCTGCAGGAATATGTTGCTTGTCTATCAAGAATATCTTCTAAGCAACAAAGCTCTTCTTTGTATGATATTTTGCATCATGGCAATCTCTCATCAAAATCTAAGGGCACAGTTGCTAGAGTTATTAGATTTGGTCCTAAAGATTGTGATGGAATTCACATTTCCTCTTGCGGGCATGCTGTGCATCAGGACTGTCATGAGAGATATTTAGGATCATTAAAGCAAAGGTATGCTTTCCCTATGATTATTTGAATGTAACGTAACTATGGATTTTATGTTGTATCATTTACTTAAATTGTTACGGCTGTTTCTTAATGAAGATTTTGTCTGTAATGCTTTTTTGGTTGTTGTTTGTGGTAATCAAGGATACTTCGTGAGCATGAGAGTTTGTAAAGAACTTTGTAGAGGTGTGAGTCTTTGGTTTATCTTGTGAGCTTTCAGTTCCTTTTTGGTCTTTCCATTCTGTTGCTTAGATACTCTGTTCATTTTTTAATTTTGATATGAAGGAAGCTGATTCACTTAATAGTACATAATGGTAAAGAATTTGTGATGATTTGACGTTAATGGGTGTTAACTTTGCTACTTCTAAGCATGCATTTTCGATCACACTTGAGAGGCAAAAAGTGCCAGTAATTCCAGGCGGTAAAGTGGCTAACAAGAGATTCATATTGTTGGATCATATGCCTGTGGACAAGCTTGAGTTATGCATGTTGGGGTGGAAATAGCTTTAGGACATGATGTTTCTAATTTTCAATATGAAGATTGCTTGTAACTATGTTTATTAGACGTGCTACTTTAGTTGATTTAGTTTGTACACCAATATATTCCATCTTTTTCCATTTTGCCTCCTTACAAAAGCAGAATTGTTTTTTTTAAGTTGATACCTTGATTATTTACTTATTAAAATGCTCTCATAGTAAATTTATTTTCTCTTATGCTCATGTTTCAAAATAATTCTTAACAAAAGCCTTTAAGTTTCCTCACTCTAAATATTTTTTATTAACCAATTCCGTTGTTATTTTATTCATTAGACTTGGATGGTATTTGGAGAAGAATTGGCTTGTTTGATCTCAAAAAATCTTTTCAAAGGTGGATTTGAAGAGTTGCATTCTATATTTATTTTTCATTTTATTAAGTTGAATTTGAAATTCTCATGAAATTTGGTATGCAAGCATTTAATTATTGGATCTTTACTTCGAAGGTGTCAGTGTGTCATTTGAATGTCTTTAGGTCTAAATAAACTGTAGTTGTTTGTGTCTTTGTTCAAAGAGAGGCTGTGCTCCGTTGATGGGGAGAATGTCCTTTGTTCTCTCATTTTTTAGGATAATGATCATATAATGGTGGAGTTAAGAATTTTTTTAATGTGGCTTATAAATTAATTAATTTTTTTAGGGGCAAGAAGCATTATATAAATTATATAGTGGTGGAGTTAGGAATTTTTTTATTGGGGCTTATAAATTAATTAATTTTTTCTAGGGGCAAGAATCATTATATATATTAAGTCAATTTAGAAGTTCGCGTGCTTCCATGTGTCTTCTAAATCCACCCTTGTTATCTGATTCTGATGACAAGGATCTGTTTTGTCTGTTTTGTTTTTTTTTTTTGGAAATTACTGAAGTTGGCTATGTTTTGAAATTATGGTGATTAATCTGAGCTAAATTGAAAATGATCTTATGCCATCCATATCCACTAGGTTAGATTATGAGGTGCCTATAAATTATCTTGAAATTGCTGAAGTCATTTATTATTAGTATTGAAAATTTTTGGCTTGAATAAAATTTCTCTTTTAGTTTTCTATCTTGTCAATGCGAGATGGATGTGTGGTTCTTTTGTGGGAAAGTTATATATTTTATTGATGTGAGGTTTGATTTTTTCCATCTTAAAAATCTTGTTCATTGTTTATTTCTTCTACAATTCGCATTGGCTAGTTTAGTCTCTTGATTTTGGTCAAAATTTGATAAGCCATAATTTGATTTTGTAGAAATTAATTCATTTGTTTCCAAATTGTTACTAAAGTTTTCGGATTTCTCGTGAACGATTCCTTATCAATTAGCTTAGAAAACTAATATTACATCACGGCAAGCTCAAACGGGCACATATACGCTGACCTACGCTATGTTTTTTTTAAATCAAATTTAATTGTTTTTTGAAGCATGCTTAAGATTTCCTTAAAAGGACTTTACCTATATGTTTTTTTGTCTCAATATTGATTTATATGTGTTATAGAGGTTTATCATTTTTATTTTTTGTTCATAGTTTTGAAATTTTAAAGCATATTCATTCATGCTGCTTTTATATTTAATTAAAATGAATGTTAAACTAATGGTTTGTTTAGTTAAGCAGAGGGAGAGTTTAGTGTAATGGTTAAATTGCCTCCATTATGCCTTGGAAGTCATGTGCTCGAGTTATGAAAATAACTTATTTGCAATACAGGGTGTAAGGCTATGTACATCAAATGCTCCTTAGAGGCTTAAAACCTCAGCATCATACCTTTTATTAACTATTCATGTGATTCACTTGGAATTCAAGCATATTGATTTTATGAATTCATACTGTGTAAGTCGTGTGACATTTTCATAAAATATAGTAGGTTTGTTCTGGTTGGGTTGCTTGGTTTTTTGTTAGAACATTTGTGATACGATCCAACATCAAAATTGGATTCAACGTCAAAATCAGCACACTTTTTCCATTAAAGTTAGGACACACAAATTTTATTTCTCTAACATCAAATGAGAGCAAAACAACACTAACAACTCCCACAGACACATAAGTAGGCGATCTCTCCCAATTTCTACAATTTGAGAGGTAGGAAATCTCTCCCAAATCTTAAACCTAAGATATAAGACTCAATCTCATGCATAAAACCTAACACTAAACATAATAAGCTTATTTTAATAATGAAATACTAACTTGCCCTTACAAAAGCACAAATTGCCCTTAGGCTAGGCACCAACTTAACATGACTCTTCTCCAAAAGACAACTTGTTCTCAATATGGGAAAAAGTGAGAGTGTTCCTCTTCCTTCACCATAGCTGTTTTTATTTCTTTATCCTCTACCTCCTTGTCATGCATTATGAGAATTTATAATTTTTTATTATTGCAATGGTGTCCTGCGATAAACGTCTTATCACACCAAAAACATAATCATTTGGCTCGCTTTTTCTGAATTTCTCTCTATAAGATGCTTTAGTGTTGCTCCCGGTTGCGACCCATTATTCCTATCCAATGCAACCTCCCTCTAGACTTCCACTGTCGGAGCTTTTGGTATCGTCGTGGTTGTAACAGTTCGGTACGATGTTCCATCCACACTGCTTCTGCTGGCCTTCTCCATCTGGCTTTTGTCCTCCACCATCTGGGTTAGTTCCATATTCTCAATCTCCATGGTCTCAATAGTTGGAGTGTTGTCCGTTTGTTGGGCTTTAGGGCCTTTATGAAATCCCCCTCCCGTCGAATCTTGCTTCAGAAATCTCCCTCAATCATTTCGACGGGAGTTCAAATCTTTCTTTATATTTCATGACTGCCCCCTTTTGATTTAAGGCGCGTAAAATTTTTTGTTTAGTTCTCCTTCCCAAATTGCTCCGAACCATTCTAACAAACAATCCTTAAATTTCTCCTACGAACGGATCAGGTATCTAACCTCCCTCCATTGAAACCAAGTTAGGGCTTTTCCCTCCAAACATAACTCTGTCGTTATGAGTTTCTCTTCCTCATCTAACCAATTCACTGTAAAGCGTCGCTCCACTCAATACACCCACCCATGTGTGTTTTCCCCTTCTAACATCATCACTCCAACTTTCTCTCCCTCTGTCGTTTCACCCATGTATGGAGGGTAAAACTCTCTCCTTCAATCATAACCACATCCTCTCTCTACTTCTCTCATTTCTTCTCCGACCTTCTCCATACCTCTTGCATAATTTCTTCTCCATATTTTGGCGCAACCGCCTCCATTAGACATCTCTAATCTACCCCCAATCAGAGCTCTGGGAGGGGGTTCTTGATGTGAGATGTTTTCCTCCCGTTCCTCTCGTTCCTCTAGTTCGATCTCTTTTCATTTCTACTTGGCCACAGAATCTCTGATTAGGATTTGCAAATTCAGTCGCCACCAAGGTCTTGTGTTGCATCTCAATAAGCCTCCTGAACATCTCCTCCAAGCTCTTGAATCGGCCCTCAAATCAATTTTTTTATGGAGGAAAACTTTCCTTCTATGGCGAAGAACCTTTCCTTCATCCTAAATATGATTTGACTTGTCTCTTCCTCCAACTTTTCTCTAAATCATCTACTTTCTTTGTTGCCTTCACTTCTTTTCATTTTCAAAATCTATCTGATGTGATCCTGTAGTTGGTTTAAATCGGGTCCGTAAAAATTGGCTTGAATCTCGAGGCTTCCCAACAAGCTTAACTTGTAGGTCTTCAACGAAGATCGAAGATCCGTCGTCGCCTTGCCACATGCTCTTGTCATGGTTGTATTGCTTCTCAACCAACTCTTATCTCATTGTATTGCAGTTGTCACCCTCTTGTGCGCCATCCGACTAGGTCACGAAGGCGTTTCTTGTGTGTTGTTGTTATGTCGTCCTTCCATGTACCCAACTATACCGTCGATCGACCTTCCTTGTACCCACGATCTCGTTGGCCTTCCCCACAAGCACCAATCACAAATGTTTCGTGAGGATGGAACAGGAGGAGAATGAAGTTTCAGGTCTCTGTAAGGCTTGATCCTTCACGTCAGGGCCTTTCATGACTGTATCCAAAGATGGCGTGGGAGGAGGTGAAACATGGAGTTTTGGGTCTCGGTAAGCCATGATCATTCGTCGTTGGAAAGCTTAACTCACGATTATCGCTGCCTATTCGCCACAGTCCCGTCGTCGCTTTCTTTGGTATGTCGCGGTCCCAACCTTACTTTCTCAGTTAGCTTTTACTGTGATTATATCGAGGCACGTAACGATCTTTTTCTTCCCAGCAGAATAGCTCTTCTTCTCTGAGCAAATAACCTTTTCTTTTCAGATTCTCAAATCGATGCTCTCATACGAATTTGATTACGATCCAACATCAAAATTTGCATGTTTTTTACAAAAGAAAAAAAGGACAAGCACATTTTATTTATCGAATATCAAATCAAAGCCCAATTCCTACAATTCCCAGAAGTCAAAATTGTCACTTTTTTTGTTCTGTCGCAGTCTCACGTTGCTTTCTCAGTTAGCTCTTACTGCGACCATATCGAGGCACACAACATTATTTTGCTTTTTAGTAGAAGAGCTCCTCTTCTCTGAGCAAATAACTTACTTTCTTTTTAAATTTTCAGATCAATACTTTGATACAAATTTGATACGATTCAACGTTAAATTTTTCACTTTTTCCACATAAATTATGACAAAACATCAAATCAAAACAATACAACACTAAAAACTTCCGCAAACACATAAGATAAACACCTACAATTTGAGGGTTAGGCTATCTCTCCCGATTCCTACAATTTGAGAGGTAGGAATCTCTCTCAAATTCTAAACTTAAGATACAAGACTCAATCTCATGCATAAAACTGAACCCTAAACATAATAATACTATTCACACCGAAAAGCAATAATAATAAAAGACTAACTTACCCCTAGGCTTATAAAAGATGAAATTGCCTTTAGGCGTAGCAATTTGTAGTTGTAGTTTTTGTTTATTCAGGTGCTACTCAGGAGCCTTCATTTCCTCCCTGCTACAGTTCAACGCCTTTTCCGCATTTTTTATTGTCCCACAACCATGTGTGTCGTCGTTTTTGTGACCAAGCCATTTCAGGTTTTTCGCTGTTGTGGAGTCGTTCGGACCTCCTGAGCCACTACTTGCTATCCTCTTACCATATATTTGATTTTCTTATGTTTTAAGTTTAGTTTTTGGTGAGAGTTTGTTTAGGACAGTCGCCAACATCCGCTTCTCCCTTTGAGGGCTATATTTGAGAGATTGGGTGGTGCTCTTGCTGTTTCTCTCTTCCGAGATGGTGATGATCTTCTTCTATCCCCTTTCACATCTTCCCACATCGCTCCTGACTGCCACTTCCCTGTTGTAACTGTTCAGAAAAGCCTTTGTTGGTTGTTTTCTGTATTTTATGCTTTCCAGCCCCCTTCCCACTCCTTGGCTGCCATTCCAGCCGCCCTTATCTAGTTCCCTTGTCGCCTTGCTGTTGTTCCGATCACAAGAAACTCCTCTGTGCAGCCTTGGCTGTTGTTCCAACCATTCCGAACCACTTCAACACCACCTAGTCACCGTTCTAGCCCCTCCCATGTGCTGCCATCGCTATTCTAATCCTCCATATACCCGTTGACATTCTTGTTTCAACCTTCCATCTTCGCTACCGCTGCTGTTCTAGCCTCCCCCATTGCTGTCATCATTTTTTACAGTCGTGCGACGTCAATATCCGTTATGTACTTGTTGTTCAGAACACATAAAACTTTTGACTACTTGTTTTCTGCTTGCCAACCACCTCGTCCATCATTCCGTCACTTTCCACCCCTCACCTATCTCCACCACCACCTCAAGGGCCATCCTAATTTGAGTTGGATTGTTGAGTCTCTTGTTTTTTTTCTTTCAAGTTTGTTAGTTGTAATCGCTTATTGACTTTATTAATAATAATATTTGTTTGTCTATTATTGTTTGGGTTAACTATGGTATCATTTGGTGTTAGAACTAGTGTAATCCTAGTTCTATCATAGAGTTCTAACATCTGTCGTGTTCAAACCTGTATGCACACCCACCCTCCCAGAAAAAGTTTCCCCTTTTTTTCCACTCAAACCATCTTTATACCTTACATCATCTCTACCTGCACGCGAAATTCTAACCATGCAACTGTCCGAGACAAGTGTTAGATGTCAATCAGGAGTTTACCATGGAAGAGATACATCGATAACTCCACCGAGTGCTACAACCACTCGATAAACTTGAGGAAAGGAAATAATTCAGGGGGCTCACCCAAACTCCATTCGATTATAAAGATGAAATGTTTGTCAGAGGATATAGAGGTGAAATGTCTTTGAACGATTTCAAAGATGAAGGTTTGCTCAAAAGAATTGACTTGAAATATCTGAGAAGTTAGGATTTTGAGAAAACGATGTATTTGCCACAATTTGACAGTCGCTTGGATCCAGATGAGTTCATTAAGTGGCTTCAGACCGTGGAACTTTTTCTGAGTTCCAGGACATTCCCCAGACGGAATGGTGAAATTAACTGCCAACGAGTTTAAGAAGAGTGCATTATTTTGGTGGCAAAATTTGAAGCGCCTACACTAGCGTAATGGAAAAGATAAGATCACTATTTGATCCCAAATGAAACCAGATATGCAGCACCAGTACTTACTAGTTCATTGCGGACATAATGTACAGACCCTAGCTTCAAAAATGGAGAGAATATTATCGGATGACCACCATATTTTATAGGCAGAGTTCAATACTTGGATCTTACATTAAGAAGTGTAGTCAGGGGAACATCCAAGCCAACCCCACCTTGGGAGGCATTAGGTCTGAGTGGAGAACGAGGGAAACCATTCCACATGCCTAAACTTGTCCCAACCAGGAATTGTTTCAAATGCCATGGATTTGGACATATCGAATCAGATTACACAACCACAAGAATGATCTCTTTCACGGATCAAGGAACAGTTGAAATAAATTATGATCCAGGAGAAAATGAATATATCAGAGAGGATGCTTAACCTCCAGCTGCCGAGGAAGAGACGTCGACTATTCCAGTTGAACCCAGGAGAGACTCTAGCTAAGTTGACGGTAGCTGTTTTAGAATGTAGTGAGTCGAGTTGATAGGCGTTCATGCAGAGTATGAGATTGTGGTGTCTCTAGGTACTATTTTTCAAGCGTTGGGAGGAGCATCAACATGAATGACCTTAGATGTCCAAAAGAGCCATGAGTTTGAGGAGTAGATACCTGACACAGAGGCATCCCCAAATAAGAGAAATTCAAACTTTTTAGATATATAGACTACTTTTTGAGTTGCCCCTGCAGAGGAGACTCCATTATGTACGAGATGAGATTTTTTGTGCCACTTCTAGAAGCCCATAGGGAGTTATTGGGGTATTAAATTTATTTCAACTGTGTATCATAGATGCCAGGTCGAAAGAATGAAACACCGCGTTGGAAATTGTTTTAGGAGTTTAGTGGGAGAGAAAATTCTATAGTGGGATCCATGTCCTACCAGAGAATAAAAAGAGATTTCTCGTGAGTGGTTGCTAATGAGACTGACTTAGTCTGTCATAGACAGCATCCTTAAGTTGATTCCTCTTCACATACTTGTTTGTCAGATTTGTCCAACGGAGCACGAGAAGTGGGAGAAGCATGTTACAGATGTAGTGGCTCAAGGCCTGATTCGCGAGAATACTTATTTATATACAATGTCAGTTCAGATTATGCTAAGAGGATGGATACCTATGTTATCATGATGTGCTTTGGAATGATGCTACTGACATGATTGACTTACCGGGAGCTTGCAACATTGTCGTTATCTTCCGTGATATGTTACAGTTGTGCAACCATGTGGGCCGCCATTTTTGTGCCTGGACCAAACTGGCCCAGGTTTTTCTATTTTTTTGAGTTCAGCCGGCACTCTTGGGCAATCCTTGCATCCTTTTACTATATATATATTTTCTTATGACGCAATGGAGAAAAAGGATTCATGTAGCCGACCCCACGTAGTGGGATTAAGGCTTTGTTGCTGTTGTAGTCTAGGCTTACTTTTTGGCGTGAGTTTGTTAGGGCAGCCACTGACATCCGTTTCGCTCATCGAGGGCTGCAGCCAAGGGATTGGGCGGTGCTCCAACTATATCTCTTTCTCACGTGGTGGTGATTATCTTCCCCTATTCTCTTCCACATCCTCCAACATCACTCCTGGCCGCCCCTTCTCTGTTGTTTTCTGCAGTTTCTACTTTTTAACTGCCTTACCCTCCCCTTGGCTGCTGCTCTAGCTGCTCATATTCAGTTTTCTTGCCGCCTTGTTGCTGTTCTGGCAATGAGAAACGCCCCTCTGCAGTCTTGGCTGTTGTTCCAGCCATTCCGAAACACTTCACCACCACCTAGTCACCTTCCCAGCCCCTCCCACGTGCTGCCATCAGTGTTCCTGTCCTTCATGCCTGTTGTCTTTGCTGTTCCAGCCCTGCTGTTCTAGCCTTTCCCCTTTGCTGCCATCATCTTGGTTGGATATTTGCTGTGTACTTGCTGCCTGGAATCTAGAAAACTGTTGTCTTGTTGTTTTCTGCTTGCCAACCACCTCGTCCACCATTTCTCCACCTTCCACCCCTCATCGGTCACCATCACCAGCCCGAGATCCACCCTAATTTGAGTTGAATTGTTGAGTTTGTTGTTATTTTTCTTTCAAGTGTGTCAGTTGTAAATGCCTATTGGCTTTATTAGTAATAATATTTCTTTATCTTTTGTTGTTTTGGTTAACTCCGATATCAGAGTATGGACATGTTTTCCTCAGACATTTAATCATGTTTTCTTTTCTTCTTGAAGAAATACTGACACATGTATCATTCCACAAAATATGAAAAAAAAGTAAATTTTCTGTGAGATGGATACTGTAAAATATATGGGCTGTATTATTGATGCAATATTTGGGAATATTGCATGGAAAGAACTGGAAAGTTGGCCAGGGTTGTCTTTTTTTTAAAATACTTTTCTATTTTCACGAGTCTACCCATTGTGGTACTTTGGTCAGCGGAGTTCTTCATATTTCATTCATAAGAAGTAGCTTTTTATTTTTTGCTCTATTACTTGTTCTATATTCTATTTTAAATGCGGTGATCATGATTTCAGGAACATAAGGAGGCTTGGATTTGAAGGAGGGCATATCATTGACCCCGATCTGGTGTGATGTTTGAGATTTGCACTGCTTTGAGCTAGATTTCAATAACTTTTTTTTTTATTTTAATATAAGATTTTTATAATACCCCGCAAGCTTACAATATGCTGTATTCCTAGGGGGAATTGCTTTGCCCCGTATGCCGCAGATTTGCAAATTCAGTCCTTCCCGCTGTGCCTTGCCCTGCTGATAAATATGGGAAGAGTGTGGAAGCCTCTCCCAAAATTGCAGGAGTGAGTAACGTCTCCCAGCTTCCCCTGGCATTATCTCTTCTTCACAGTGCGGGCCAAAAGGCTGGACATGGGAGATTCCTTAAAAATTCTTTTGGCAAACTGAGAGAAACTATTAAACCAGCTTTGGAGCCTTCGCTGCACAAATTGTATACACTATATTATCCATATAATTATAATGATTTATCATCTTCTGGAAGGGTCAGTCAATCATTAGTGCTATGGGACACCCTCAGGTATTCCCTTGTATCGACAGAAATTGCTGCTCGTGGAAGGGTGAGGGCATCAACTGCTAATTCTACTTTGAAATCTTTATATGGCGAGCTTCATTCTTCTAGTGGATTTATATTGCCATCGCTGCTTAATGTTGCTAAAAGCACTTGTAGTTCGAATTCGATTGAAGTGCTCCTTAGGTTTAGAGGCATTCAACTTTTGTCAAAATCTATTTGTTTTGGCGTGTCAGAGGATAGCAATTTGTCAAATTCCGACAAGCGAAGAGGTGTAGTTTGTCAGTATTTTTTTTTTTTTTTTGTGCAATCAATTTCTGTAAAAGAAGTGTGATACTGAGAGTTCAACAGTAATCTTTTCATGAAGGATATGGCTATTATTAACTTATCCAGTTTTTATGTGTATTGTAGTACATATCTGGACTGATTTCCATATTCTCCTTTAGTAATTTTACATAAATCAGTACTTCAATAGCCAACTGTTGAACTGGTAATCCATGAAGTGGTTAATGACGGATCATTCGTTATCTTCCACAAACACTTCAATATTATTTTTTCCACTTTGTCAGTATTTCTGCTTCACCAGCATAGGAAGTGATCATTTTACTATCATCATTCATTTTTTTTTCCCCTACTCTTTACAGGGTCATTAAAACTGGAGCATACTGAAAGTGGAGAATCCTTTCCAGATATTCAATTTTGGAAGAGAGCTACTGATCCAATCCTTGCTCACGATCCATTTTCTTCATTAATGTGGGTTCTATTTTGTCTTCCATCTTCTTTTATGCAATCCAATGAATTCTTTATCCCTCTGGTTCATCTCTTCTATGTCGTTTCTCTTATTCAGGTACTTAAATATGTTTCACAGCTAAAAGATTTTGAATCAATAAAGTTTTTTAAAAACTTTTTATTTTCATATTTGTTCTGAGTCTAATTTGGTTTCACATTTTCAGTCTCTCATTACATGCTATTGCAAAGATTTTTTTGATGCATCACATTTCTGTGATTCTCTTCTCTGTGATTTGTGCAAAGTGTTGGGGAAATCTTCACGAGTGAAGAAATACTTTGTTTCAAACTATATTGATCCTTCCTGTCATCCGAAAGATATGATTCGTAGGTTAACATTTCCTTTTCTTAGACGATGTGCATTACTCTGGAAGTTACTACAGTCATCAAACACAGCTATTTTTAATACTTCAAATATCTGGGAAGGATTAAATCCACATGCAAAGACTGATACATTGGAGGTTGACAATGCTAATTACTTTAGAATGGAGCTTGATGGAATAAAGGAGTTGGAGGATTTATTTCATGTTTCATCATTTGAATTGATTCTTAAGGATGAAGTTGTGAATTCCTTGGCTTTGAAATGGTGCAAACACTTTTGTGATGAATTGAAGACGGAGAGATCTTGGGGCATCTTATATTATACTCCTGCAGTACCATTTAAGTTGATGCAGTTACCAAGGATCTACCAACATCTTTTGCAGAGGTTTTGCACAAAATAATTGTGTCTTCTAATTTTTTTACATTGCCCATTCAAGTTCCATTTATTGTTGTTCACTCAATTTTTTGTCATGGTTTTATCAGGTATGTTAAAGTTAAGTGTTCTGAATGCAAATCTATTTCAGAGGAACCTGCTCTTTGCTTGCTTTGTGGAAAGCTATGTTCTCCAAGCTGGAAATCCTGTTGCAGGTCTGTATACTTGGTTTTTTTTTTTTTTTTTTCTTTTTTTTTTTTTTTTTTTTTTTTTGTTTATTTGCTCGTTTTCATATTTAGTGCAATCCTGATTCATTTGTGATTATCAGATGCATTTCCTATATTTTTGCAGGGCAAGTAGATGCTTAAACCATGCAATTTCTTGTGGTGCTGGCATTGGCGTGTTTTTGTTGGTCCGGGTATGCCTAGATCATGATGGCGTTTTTTTGGATCAGGTTTTTTATCGTGTTAGATTCGTAATATAAGTTTTACCCTCTTGTTTATATTGCAGAAAACTACGATTTTACTTCAGCGGTGTTCAAGGCAAGCTTTTTGGCCGCCTCCTTATTTAGATGCCTTTGGGGAAGAGGTAATTAGGATACCAGTATTGAGCTTTAGTTCAATGTATATTGATAATGTGCTCAGTCGCTGATTTTCTTATCTCATATTTTTGAATATATACTTGAAAGCAACTTTTTCCAGATACCTATTTTTCTTCACAAAACTCTTGCTCACCACCCTGCCCCCAACCGGACCCCGACCTTATCCTTGACCTGCACCCCCACCTTTCCATACCAATGTTCATGTATGCATTGGGCACACTTGCTCTACAAAATATTTCCTCCTCTTTTTATTGATGTTCATATATGCATCAATCATGTATGCTTATTTATTTTTGTTTGTGCTAACATGTGGTTCAATTTGTCAGTTAAAACCACTTCCATTGCTAAGGCTATTCTATCTTGGTTGCGAACCTTTTTGGTCAAAAGTTTAAGGACTAGATGTTACTTTTGCTCTGCCCAGTTTATGCATTAAGATCAGCAGCAAAACAAATACATCATTGCTTAGTTTTGTTCATAACTCAATAAATGCAAGACTCTATGATATAACCCTATCAAAAGAGTGAAACTTTATCATGTATGTGCAGTTGCTCATTAGCAGTTATTTTGTTTTATTGTTATTTTTAAACTTATCAGCAATTGTTAAGTCTTACTTTCATACTAATCAAGCTGGCTTCTGTTTTGGGCCTTAACTCAGACCCATCTTGATACCGATTCATCCAGAGATGCAGACAGATCAATGTTCTGCTGGCTTACCTAATATGATCAACGACCCACTTAATACTAATGACTATGTTAAGTATACTTCACAGAACATTAAATTTAATCCATTGGTCCAAAATGTATTCCTGATGTGACACTTCTTTAGATTTTTATTTTATACAAGCTCATATTCCCCTTGCCTATCAACGGCCCTACTTACTACTTAAGTGATCCCTTCTTGTGCCCTCTATATCATCTCCTACCATTGTTATCACCGACACAACCTACTTCTTCACAGAACATTAAATTTAATCCGTTGGTCCAAAATGTATTCCTGAGTGACACTTGTTTAAATTTTTATTTTATACAAACTCATATTGCCCTTGCCTATCAACGGCCCTACTTACTACTTGAGTGACCCCTTCTTTTGCCCTCTAAATCATCTCCTACCATTGTTATCACTGACACAACGTACTTCTTTCTTGCTGTTTATACCTCCCTTTTAGAGGCTGCTAATGATAGAGAACACTTTACCATCTCCCTTACATGGAGCGCAGCCCACAAAGATATGAACCTTCTCACTAGGCTATAACCAGCTTCTCAAGTCTCAAGTCTCACAAAAGTTACAACCACAGCGTTACAACAAACACTAATTTGGCAAAAGCCACTACCACCGGCCTTCCAATTTTTCCTTATTTCTTTGTTGCTACCAAGTATTCCCTCGTTAATCTTCATTGATGGTGTAGCCGAGGGCAATCCCTTTTAGATCAACGTGAATGTTGCCACTTCCACCTTACTCTTTGTTTGACTCTGTATTTGTTGACACTTTTATCTGTCATCAACCTTGCTGCCTTTGCTGTCATCATGATGCCTCTATCCTCACACTAGTCAATATCGTTGATTCAAAATATATTCTTATAGCTGTTAAATGCGTTTTGAATAATATTTCTTTTAAAGATAGCTATGACACACCCCAACTAAAGTGGGCGTTTGATCTAGGTTTTAAAGTCTTATCACAAAGAAATTAATTCAAATAAAACACACAAATTAAAATAAAACAAAACAAAAATTAACCAACAGGTGATAGTGATTGTACATAAATGGCATTGCATAAGAGATTTGAATTCTATGCCATTTCATTGAGGACCTTATATCTCATCAATCGATCAATTATTATGATTATTCTATGATCATTATTCTTTTATATTGTATGAATTTTATTTGAAGCTCTCCTAGATTTGTACACAAACTAACAAATGTTAGAAGGAAACAAAAAACAGCTCTATCCAGTTTTTATCAAGGCATCAGAGCACTAAGGTTTTTTTCTTTTCCTTTTCTTTTTTTTTTATTCTTTCTTATATTTTCATTATAGCAACCTTCATGATTGCATTACCACAATCACGCAACCTTCATTACGTCTCTCTCTCTCTCTCTCTCTCTCTCTCTCTCTCTCCTATTGTTATTATAATTGTAACCGTCATCATTACATTGTCACAAATATTTTCCGTTGTTGTGAACTTCCTGCTTGCATTGCTCTAAAGTGGTCCTATTATTGCAGCCTTCATCGTGAATTTCCACAAATTTCTTCATCATTGTAGACTTATTTTTGCATTATTGAATTTCTTTGTTTTTAATTTTTTCATATGAATAAAACCACAATTTCCTTCTATAGATAATAATAACAGTACCTACATACTTCTGGCCTTAGGACTCTTTAGAATTGGGAGATAAAATCAAAATCCATGGTATAGTTACAAACATCATTTAACATATCGGTTGAATGAAAAATACTATCTAATATGGATGTGATTGGTTTGCAAGTTCTTATAGGGTCACATAAAATGCACCAAAAGTTGGGGCAAATTTTTCAGAAGTTATCAGGCAACCTTGGCATGTGCAACATGCTTTTAATCGTATTAGAGGGTGTGAAAAAATCAATCTTCATCAAATCCACCTCAATTAATTATGCTTCCATCAAACCTGCCTTATTCATTTTATGTCTCATCAGAGATATGTGGGATTACTAGTGTCTTCTCATTAATCTTTAGATTATTGTAATTACTCTATAATTATTATAGTATCACCTCATTAATACGTGGACTATTATAATTATTATGTATCGTTGTTCTTCTATGGTGATATATATATATTTAGATGTTCTGATTGGAATGTATAAATGCTACACAAATGTTGGAATGAAACAATCCAGTTCTCTTAAATTTTTATCAGAAATTATTGAGCTTCTTGCAATTGTAATTGAACTTTTATTCCTTTCTTTTTCTCTTGCATTCAAAGTTGTAGCTGTCTTTCAAATAAATTATTTATTACTCTGTTTTTTTACACTTTCATTGTTAATTCTTCCTGTTGTAGTTCCAGGTTTGATCTCATATTGTTCATTTTTATCATTTGTACACTCCCCTTTATTGGAGACTTGGCTTATCAAGGCAGTTCTTTTGATTTCCTTAGAGATTTATCATACGCTACAGTTTCTTTAGCTGTATTTTCTTGTTTATGATAGAAGGCCAAGCAAAAGGTCAAGGGAGTAATTTGATAGATGTTTGATTTTGGCCCCACTCTTAAAGTAATGATCTTAGGACATTACTCATCAATTCATGATTCGTTTATTCTTTGTCAAGGGTTTATAGACTATTAGTGATTCCGATCTAGTGCTACTTGACAATGTGGTATGGTCAATGAGTGAGGAGAGTTGTAGGAAGGTGACAGAGAGGAAATTGGAAGCAAAAGTCAGAGAATCAGTGCAACTAAAGGCTGGACAGTAGCGGATAGTAGCTGCAGCGAGCCGGTAGCTGATCCCGAGAATATAATTGTGTAAAAATTATAAAGTTTATGATTAAAAATTTGATCAATTAATGTTGGGATGTCGGTCAACTTTTTGGATTGATTTGTTTAGATTTTGAAAATATGAAAATATGAAAATAATTTTTGAGATTTAATTTAAATATAAAAGATATATAGTTTGAGTTTTAAAAGTAGTATGTTTTAATTTTTGAAAAATGAGACCAAATGGATCTCATTAGTCTGATAGTTTGCATAATCGTGTCCGATACCGCGAATACTACACCCTCCCGAGAGATAAGTGTAGACCTCAGCGATAGACCCACTCCTGCAAACTAAGAGATTTGTGACATCCGTTTGGTCTGCGAACCTTTTATGTATGACCGACAAGTTCCCCTATTTAATACAAAGATTAAATAGGGTTTATTTTACCTGGGTTCCAAGTTCCCTATAGAGGCAAGCCCCTATAGTTAATTACATCCCAAATGACGGGAGTCACTTGAGAAAACTCTCGATAATGATCAATGGTTCTAGTCTTCAAGAATTCAAGGTTCAGGTTTTCAAGGTAGGATGAGAAAAATCAAGTGGGAATG